AGACAACTGTGTTCAGTATACAGGACACAGACGCACTACAATTATTCTGTTCCACTCACACAACTAATAATATGCATATGCCTCCGAGGGCAGTGTAAAAACTGACAAGCCTTACTGTTTTCACATGTAGGTCCCTCCCACCCAGGGGTACATATACACATATAACCATTGACTTGATCCCTGCATTGTGCACCGTTGCTACAAGGGCCACTGCTGCACTCATTAATATCTACAAATAAAAAAAGACATACAAGAAGTAAGAGTTTCCTGGTCAAAATGGCACTTACAGTTGCTGCATACATGTATATATTATCTTCAAAGTTCAAAGTCTAAACAATCTGTAAATTATTACACCAAAGACTGGACTTGCATGTACATCTCCTTCCTGTATTTTCACACTGACATTTCTTATGAATTGGGAATAGGATGGCAATTAATATGAATAATTATTTTCCCTCATTTTAGGAGCCATCTCAAATGTCGTCCAGGACAAGTTGCATACTAATTGCAGCTGAAGTGATTCCTTATTCGGAATTTCCCACCAGAAACTGTGCATTTATTCAAGTTGTGGGGGGGAATTTTCTTCAACAGGTCACTTACTGTGAAGGACTGTTTACATTACCAGCAGGCGTGTCATAGGTGGTCAGAATTTAAAGGGACCACGAAGACCCCTGTAGATAAACTGTAGATTGTTTTTTAAATATTGACTACCATATGCCAATAACACGATAGGGGATGTAAAAATGAAATACAATTGAATTTGTTGTGGTTGATTTTCCTAACCCTCAAATGATGGCATTATGGGTGAAAAACATTTGAGAACCCAAATTTAAAGTCAGGCACCTTTTCACTTCATTTAGACCAGAAAGAAACATAGACATTGGACACACACAATTTTACATGCCTGCGGAATATTCGAACGTAAAATGCAAACATGTACATGTCAACGTATACGATGCCCATGCATATAATAAAAGCATGTGCACATGCATGCAGTATGGCCAACATATGAGCCATTGCATAAAATATTAGGTGGAATAGCCTAGGTTGATTTGGAAATGTACCCTTTGTCATTTCAAGTTCTTTCTCTGTTCACAGGCATTTTTTTGATTTCCCACAGATCATAGACATGGCATCTGACTTCAGAAAAACAAGTTGTATGTATTCAAAAGAAAACACTGTAGCTCAAAATGCGAGATTTCTTCCTGTCCTGACCATTTATCCCTGGCCAGCCTAACTTCAGATGTTCAAATTTGTCTAAATTTCATTTGAAAGTTTTCCAGGCTTGTCTAATCTTTATAGGTGATGCTATTGCCTGTGGCAACAAATCTGATCCGCATGAGTTGCCTACCAGGTGTTCTTGAGTTGCCTACATGGCCAAAATTGCAAGGGAGAGAACGTGTAAACAAATACTGACAACTTCATTCAGGTATTTCAAAGATGGATTTGCGCCGGGGAGATGAAATTAATTTGGATTTTTTTTGCCCTGCCTGATGTATATCTTAACAAGCTCAGTGGTCGAGTGGTTAAGACGTCTGCACTAGTAAGCGTACTCAGGTGGGACTCAAACCCACGACCTCCTGCTTACTAGTGCAGACGTCTTAACCACTCGACCACCGAGCTTACCAGTGTCAACTGGCTGGTTCGAGTCCCACCCGAGTACGCTAGTGTTTTTTTCACAAGTCCTCAGGGGCATACACTGAGTATACATTATATATGTCAGGCAGGGCAAAAAAAATTCCAAAATTAATTACATTCATGTAGTTTGTGGTGAAAGGTGGTTAGGAGCCTTCAACATTCAGCAGCAAAACCTGTCCAAATTTGTCCTCAGCTTGTCCTGTACAACATTTGAGATAACCCTTTAATGCTCTTAATGAATACAGCTTTAAATTAAAACCATCAAAGAGCAAGATTTTTAGGAATGCTAATTTTCCAGTTGTAGTATAGCGCCATTAAAGCAAGCTTCTAATAAAGGCTTTACAAATGTGTTTAGCAAACAGGCCGTCACCGAGCTCATCCACTTGCTCTTTGTGAAAGTATTTTTTTCTGAAAAACTGGAAAGGTTTTCAGCTGTTCTGGTGCTTCTACAAAGGAAGTGGTTTTGAATTTTTATAAAATACAAAGGAACAAGACTGTAACAGAATCTATTGAAAAATCAATTTCTTCAATATCAAAATGACCAAATAATACTTGTTGCCCTACATGTGAACTTTGTGTTATAATTGCCACACTTTAGTATAACTGCTTAGTATATCTAGTTACAAAGATATAAGATAAAGCTAATTTAGTGTAAAAGTTTGGCAATGTTCTGTTTTGCAAGCTTTTCTTGCACATTTTTTCCTCGTGATTGTCTTTTTTCAATAAATAAATCAGTATTTTTATTTATTCTCTTTCTTACTCATTAAAATACTGTTACATGTAACTCCATGGCTTTTGTTATGTGCTGGTTAGAGGACTTTCACGTTTACTGTAAGTTTAAAGAAGTCTTACATACTTGCTTTTTTTCTTCAGTTTTCTTCTTTTTTTAATTTTCAATGGTTACCCTCTTCCATTTAAGCATGACTTAATTCTTTTCAATGTAAGGCCTAAGTGAAACCACACTCTTCTTTAAATGTCTGGGTTTATCCTGTATGTTAAAGAAGAATAAACATACCAATTTCACATCTATCTCCCTGCCAACCAGGTGCACAGTTACAAGTGTACATGTTGACAGCATCAATGCACTGGCCCAGGTTCAAGCAAGGACTTGATGCACACTCGTTGATGTCTACCAAGACACAAAAAAGGAATATCATAGTTCAAGAAGAACTCAGTAGTTTCACTACACCTAATACATATTCACCGACACTTGGAACAGTGAGCTATGTCACACATGCTGCTGACGGAGTTACTCCCTGTCAGGCTGATTAGAGGGTGCTCTCCTGAGGTAGGGCTGCAACAATAAATCTACTGAATCTCCAGATTTATTTGGTTGAAATATACAACCAGGTATACTTAAACACTTTGAGACAGGCTGTGGAGGGAAACAACGGTTGGATAACTACGTAATGTCAATAGGGCTGTGCCAAATATCCAAATAACCAATTATTTCAATATTCTGTACACAAAATTCATGAAAAGGAAATGAAAATTTTCTTTTGTTTTAAGTGAGAAAAATTGCACTATGGAGGCTTGTTTCAGGCAGATTCAAATGAAAAGCATCGGAAATCTTACAATGATTTGAAAAGTAAATTATTCATTAAACAATTTAAAACAAATAGAAATTTTCAAGAGGGCAAAAATGTCTTGTTCATCTCTTAAATCTTGCTAAATCGTGGTTGGAGATACTCCTAGATGTGAGAAGCTATCATATTGATCACAATGTACAATTGTGTGTGTTATTGCAACTGGTTTTGTATGTTTTGTTCACCAACAATGCGCCGGTCGGTGCAACTGAACATTTGGATATTCGATCAAATAGAAGGTTGAATATTCGAATAGTGAATTATTCAAATTGACTCAGCCCTAAATGTCAACCTTATTCTTTTTATTCAAATATTTACAGTACATCTTACATGCTTCAATAATCATTGTTTCCTCTAATTACTGGACTTAGCCTACATGTACATGTAAGTATGCATCAAACTTCGTTGCGGTTGCTCAAGTAGGCTTCCCTACAATTTCAACTACATGTACTACGTTGGTAACCAGCCCTGCTTCAGCTCCGGTAAATTTCTATAACTTTATTTACTACGTTGGTAATCAGCCCTGCTGCAATTAGTCCAGTAAATTTCTACAACTTCATCTATTATGTTGGTAACCAGCCCTGCCGCAATTAGTCTGGTTGATTTCTATAACTTAAACTAAATTACGTCAGTAACCAGCCCTGCTGTAATTTCTCTGGCAGATTTCTATTAACAGCACCAGCTCCTTCCTGAATTTGAAAGTACCCACTTTGCTACTCCACCAGTTTCAACTGCACCTATGCGACCTCTCAAAGTCACCAAAGTTGCATAAATCACTACATAAAACCTTTACATAAAGCCCCATTAAACTATTTTCAAGGACACAATTTTTGCAGCGCCTCACTTACATTTATTCATTTATAGTAAATTATTTACAATCAATATCACAACAATCAAAACCAGAGCAACCATCTCCTAAAATGTTCTTCCAATGCAACTGAAGTTCCTGCTAAATAAGTCGTAACAGTCTTCAAGTTTAGTTTTATAGTTTTTCGTATAGGTCAAGGAAAAGGCCTAATGCATATCAGAAATACAGTGTCAGGCATTGTCACTTCCACATACTATCTGGAGAAGCTCTGGATCATTGATAAGCAAAAAATAACAGACAAAAATGTACAATGGAGGTCTTCAGTAAGTCAGAAAAACAAGAAAGTTTCTTACCTACATGTATTATTGAGCAACACAACATACTGCGGCGACTAAAGTGAGCATGCTCGGCATTGATATATCCCACAGAGTATCTAGGAATTCTTAATGGGTTTGAAAGCGTTTACTGCATAGCAACCCTGTGGTGGTGCTCACACATTTTCCCGTTTAATTAATTGTAGTATACATGTATCCGCTGAAATACTCTCTTTAGATTCAACTAAAATTTCTAATTATTCTATCAAATAAAGGTAAAGACAGCTAATCTGGAGAATTAATTAACCAATAAACAGAGTTAATCATATGTTCTACGTGGTGAGGTCACAGATTCAAAAGCTTTCATTGCAATGCAAAGTGCATGTATACTGTAGGTATAGGTTCATGTGTGGATCTCCATAGGCATCAAACATCAGTTACTTCTACGTAAAAGGTAAGTCAGCATGTAAAATTCATAGAGGCTCTAATAGGAAAATTTGCTCATGAAACATGTTCAGTGAGATCGGCCAGACCCTCACACATAACACGCATCACAAAATGCCAAAATGTATGTGTCATCTGCTCTTCACACAGCTAAGACAAAATTTGCTTTTTTAGTATCAAAATGCGTGTGTCAACAGCTAACTTATTAGTTGAATACATGCATCCCAATGTGCATCCCAATGGGCATCCCAATGTGCTAAAGATAACAGCTACACGTAGCATTTTGATGATAAATTTCAGAGATGCCATCATTGAGGATGAGGAATCTTTAAGGTCTCCAAAAAACCTGAAACTTTATCATAATATATTTTGGTATGAACGCTTACAATTGAGCCTGTCACGCACATGCTTGGTATGATGAAAATGTTCATTTAGACTCTACAGAAAAAATGGCAAAATTTACAAATTCAAACTATGATAAGAGGTCCAAGATCGCGGCAATATCAACACGTGTGGTGGACAAGTAGATTAAATTTTACCAGTTTCAATTCTGTAGATCTCTCTCCTTCACATTCTGTCTAATCATTGTACCGTGCAGAGAAACAAGTATTGGTAACCAGGGCCATGCATACACTTATGTTTATGAAATACCTGTGCACCAGTTCATAATTCCGCTGGCCATCACACTCAACGCCATCCTAAAAAAGGCTATTTTTCAAATGCCTTCTGGATCTTTGGATATTAAATGAAAAATCGCCAATGGCGAAATGACCAAACTAAAACTAAAGAAGCTGCCTAATCTAATTTGTCATGGGCTGTAACTGACTATTTTAGCATAAACAGTGACATAATGGGTCAATTAACCTCGTTTCCAGGCAATATTTCAGAAACCCATGACAATAACATGAACAAGTTGGACCCTTGATGTATCGTGCATGTGTGTACACTGCGTATCACGGCTGGTTTGGTGGGATGGGACGTATATATAAAGGTTGGTCGGTTTCATAAATGGGTATAAAACATGACACAAGCTACAACAAACAATAATTCCTGTCTCAACGTTGGCTTTAAAAATATCACCGCCAAGACAGGCAACATATACAAAACCAACACAAATATTCTTGTAATTTTTTTAAATCACAGTTTGTTTTAAACTCCAGAAGAATTTAAAAGGCGGTTGAAGTACATATATTTGACCTTAAATCCGGAAGTATGGCAAATGGGAAGGGTTGGCATCTCTGGAATTTATTACATTAAGATTTCACCTATAAGTAGGTATGAGATATGGCAGTGAATTAGGTAAAAGATGAAAGTTACCTATGAAACAAAGCATGTTATGGTAAATCATTTAGGCACAAGTACATGTTGTTCCTAAAAATGCATAAAAAGTTTCTAAATGGCAATACGTCATGTGTCTGGCAAGTTCTCAGCTCAGGTGGGCAATTAGAATGAATAGAATCGCTCATGCTGTATTCTATAAAGCGTTCTGAGATGGAATGACCCTTGCCCACATTTTACCTACCTGTCTCGCAGTTCAAGCCAGTGTAGCCAGCAGCACACTGACATTGGTAGCCATTCACCAAGTCCACACAGGTGCCACTATTCTGGCATGGATTGCTAGTGCACTCATCAATGTCTGTAAGTAGAAATCAAGCATGCTGACACAAACTGCACATCACCTCCTACAGACTACTTGTGCACACATTACACGTTTTTAAATATGAGGAGTGCATGCATTTTGACAAGTCACAGCACTCTATTGGTTGCAGTTTGCAGAGGCACTGAACATGCACATGACCAACACTTAAGTATACTACTACTGCTGTAATGGCTTCCACTTGTCATAGCTGTATTAGTTTCCAAAGAGCCGGTACAGCGTTCCTTCTCTGGGGGGAAGTCTTTGTCATTTAAACATTGACCAGATCAATTGCAGTTTGGTCAACTTGTACATGTGCACACTCCTATGCAAAGCAACTTGTGCATGAACAATAAAACGTATCTTTTTTTAAAGAATAGTACTGAGAATTGATATCTAATAGAATTCTTTGAAATGTCATATATATAACATTCAGGAGATATAAATACCAGACAGATCCAGTGTTTCACTATGATGGCTGTTATAGTTGAAAGTCAAGCATCAATACAAAAATGGACTATTACACATAATTAGGATGCACACAACCTCATACAACTAAAACAATTCAGAGTACAAGTTGGTCAGAGCATGAATCAGCATTTGAGTTGGCACTTATGATTTGGTTCAAATGTGAGCTAACCAGCATTCCTTCAACCCTCTATTCCCAAGAATAGAATCTAGTGCATGAGGAACGTACATGTATTCATGTATACATGATGGATTCAGAAATTTTAATATTAACAGCAGTCAAGCATGAGGCTGGAATAGTCGTGGATACTGCACTCAATTCATACTGTGGAAAGGACAGGTTCGAAACCTGCTGTTAGGGACAATTTCATGGCCTATCAGCTGTTCCCTTGTCAAACTACAAACAAATGTGAACCTGCAAAAGCAGCTGAAGTATTCACTGACAAGACAGAGGGAGAAATGCCTACTGATGTACATACATGTATCTAGTTATCACTGACAATTATCAATGTGTTTATTCAGATGGAACTACATGAGATTTCAATAAAATATTTCTGAAAATCTGTGAAGGGGGTTGGTGGTGAAAGTTCTTTTCAAAAATTGGAGATTCTTTTAGAGTTGAAAGTGATTTTACTCACTTTGGTGGCAGGTGTTGCCCTGCCAGCCCACTGCACAGCTACAGGTGAAGGTAAACTCTCCATCAGTGCAGGTAGCACCATTAAGACAAGGGAAGCTGGTGCAGCTGTCAAGGTCTGCCAAGCAATCAGAGAGAATGCAGCAGAAAAAAGGGGAAATTTGTTTGTCACTGAGAAAGTGAACTCCCCAACTAGCTTGCGCAATGGGACAAATCTTGCTGTGACAGAGCACCGAGTGTAAGTTGCAAAAGATGGAGTTGAGGCATAATTAATCATATTTTTAATTGCTCATATGAATTCAGTGAGTCAGTATTTCAGACATTTTGCTTTATATCAAAATTTGGTCACTGTATTTTGCTGATCAACGTTTGATGAGCACAATTGATAAATTCTACCTGCCCTGTAGGTGAGGCTGAACCCAAAAAACTCGTTGCTATTGTCAGTGATAAATACAATCCAGGCTTGGTTCCCAATGACATCAAAGGTGTATGGCAGGTTAGCTGGTTGGGTCTCCTGACTGTTGCCATCAAGTTGTGCAATGGCTTGCCTGCGATCTACAGTGGACCCCCTACCATACTCGAATGGGTCCTTGCTATCAATTTCCAACTGCATGACAGAAACATTTGGGATCATTTTAATACAAAATATGCAACACTACATAATTTTTTATTATTTTTTTATTTATTACTATTTGCATGTAATAGATACACAATAGAAATTGAAATGGCTCTCATGCTAAAAAATACAGTAAAAAAAAGCATATTAAGAACATCAAGTATCAAGTACCACAACATCGCCATCCACCACACTAAATATATACAGATAATGATCCACAAAATTACAGTTTGCCATTTACATATTCCTTAAAAATTTCTATATAAAAATATCAGAATAAAAACACTAAATACGAAGACAAATAAAAGACATGTACACAAATCAAATGAGGAATCATGATGACATACAACAACCGACTTTTTGAAATCATTCCATCCCATTCAGTGCCCTTACTGCGGTTGGATAGAAACTTCTCCTGAACCTTTCTGTCTTTTATTTAATAACTCTGCACCATTTTCCTGACCTCAGTAACTAAAAAAACTCATTTGCTGGATGATAGTCGTCACGTCTTATGATACTTGTCTTTCTCTTTAATCTTGTGGCATATATTTCAGATACTGATGGAAGATCTTTGCCAACAATATGAGCAGCTGTTCTAACAACTCTCTCCAATGCCTGTTGTTCAGCCAAAGTCGTGTTACCATACCAAACAATAATAGATTGCGTCAACACACTTTCCACCACAATTATCGGACTCACCCAAAGGTGCACGACGCAAGGAGCAGTAGGCATCCTTAATGGGAGTATAACAATGGTCCAGGGTTTTTCCATCCCTTGTATGGCAATCAACGTGTTGAAAGAACTTCGGCATTCTTTTCTTGAATTTTACATGATTGAAATTTGCAGTTGGGCATTTAACTTTCATGCCCCTAGTATTTTGGTTTGAAGTCCTGCTCAATGCATTAGCATGTAATGGGTGTGAAAGTGAGAAGCTTGTCCAGTGCACCAAAATGTATTACAACTCAATTACACATACATGTACATGTATGCATCTAAATGCCAACAAATGGCCAAAGAATCGGAAGCTGCCAGCCACGGATGGTTCTGAAAATGTCCTTTGTAATGGCTCAAATTTTCCAGTAGCTGGTGCAGGCTGTGCATGTTTGCAAGTCAATGCAACAGTTTTCTAGGCATATGTTGCATCTTGTTTTACAACACTAGATTAGACTTTAAGGTAGATTTACTTAACCCCTTAACAACGGTAATTTCCTACCAAAAGCTGACTCCAAGAATTCCAGCCTTGCTTGGCCACGAAGGCCACCTGCCAAACCGCAAATTCTCAGTTTGTGGCCCTGCGTGCTCTGCACGCTTTGAATTACATGGTGAAAAGGCTGATTTTCAGTAGCATGCGGCTCTACTCACCCTTCCACGTTCCCATTGGAAAGTGGGGACNGCTACGCACAAAGACCAATTACCATATATACAAGAGCCAGGGTCTGTCTTCTTTCACCGCATTCACTCGAGCGTGGGCCGAGAATAATAGCTGAAAAGCGGGCTGAGGATCTCAATTTTTACAGCGGCTATAGCTGCTTCCCAGCGCCAAGGGGTTAACACTCTTAACATATTTTACACAGATTTGCTTTTGGTTTTAGAGGGAAGAATAATATTGCATGTCTTGACCAAAGGTAGCATTAAATGTGACGACAATTAACTATGATGACAATTTATGTTTCCCAAACTGCTCAAGTAGCTCACACATATCAAAGGACTTGTCAGATCAGCACAACCAACAACATGAAACAAGTACAGAATGCTTGTTATCAGCTGATGGGCTTTTTGGTACGAATACCCTAATTTTAATCTTAAAAAGTTTATTTTTAAAGATAAAACAACATAAATGCTGGGCCGCCCGTTTGGCAGTGTTGTAGTCACATACTTTATGAGCACCAAGCTTCTCTGCCAAATATTGAACTGGGTATAAGGGAATAAAGCTGGAATATGTACATGTAGGCATTCCATGATACATGTACAAAGGCAAGATTACAATTTAAATATATGACTACAGACACTCCCAGTTTTGTAGAGACAAGAGAAAAGTTTTCAGAAAGTACTCAGCTGAGTACTTTTTGAGTACTTTCATCCTGAAACTTAATTTTCCCCCCACCAAGAGTGGGCCAGTCTACTACTGAATACCTACCCACATTACCAATACACTTGCATATTTACCTAGTCCATTACGCCATTTGCTAAATTCTCAATCAGTCGGTAATAGTGCTCCCTTAATTCCCATAATGCCCTGTAAGGGTCGGGTGTGTAAACGTTTAACCATTTAAACAAAAAAATGTATTTATCCATTTAGACATTTTCCTAAACGTTTTAACGGTATTAACTGTTGGAGGTTGCACAAAATTTAATTGAAGCAGTCTGGGTTACTTTTTATTTTCAAACGATGCTGCGAAAGTGTCTTTACATTTCAAAACACTTCAGCACCCAGCCAAATCGAACAAACTCTCAGTAACTCAAAGTCCGCGAACTGAAAACTCTTATCTGAAATACATTCTTCACTACTGCTGAAAGAATCGCTGATTCTCTGTGGTAGCAATGTGGTGACCTCACTGAATGGAGGAAGCTTTGTGTGTGCCGCAGCTATAGCCTTGGTGCCGCTGTCCGCTCAACTCCAGTGCAGGCACGCTGCTCACATGGTGACCGTCCAATCACAACCCTTTACAGCACCAAGTGAGATGCATCCCCATTGTGGTACTGCAAGGTGCTTTTTCCGTAGCCTGATCTCACCCAGAAAAAAAGGTTAAACTTTGCTTTCTGGTATTTTTTCAATTCCATTAATTCATGATTTATCTGTTTTTGAGGACAGGCAAAAGTGTAAACAGTCCCTATTTAGTTTTTGAGCAAGCAGAAAAAGTACATGTTCCTCAGATGTAATATTGAGGATTGCGTACCCAAGGTTTTATTTGTCTAAACATTGAACAAAAATATTCAGCTGTTTTAATACTTAATATCATGATTTTATCTGACTTAGACGCCAATACACCAAAAATATGTGAGAGGAAATGACTATTTTCAAGTGGCTCAGCAAGTCCCGATGAAAGAAAAATTCTAGAATAAATCCATCCCAGCTCTACTGAAAAAGAAATCTCCCCAGGAGTGATTGACAGCTCTATTGTTCCGTTAGACACAATGTATATTTTGAAATATTTGGCAGCTGTTCTGCTTGGCATTATGGGAGTTGAGGGCGCACTACTGGATGATCAAGCTAGCAAAGGCATAATAGACTAGGGAAATATGCAAATGTATTGGTAATCTGGGTAGGTTGAAGGCTGTAAACAGTGATAGTGACAGTCATAATTTTACTGTGTAGTCCGTTACCTTTGTACACGTACCATCAGATGCCTATGTACATGTACTTCAGCTTTGTTCCCTCCTAACTGGTTGAATATTTGGCAGAGAACTTGCTGCTCAAAAGGTATTCGACTATTACACTGCCGTTTGGTTCCTGCCTTTGTATCATTCATCGGTGTAATGTTCGTAGAGCAAGTTGACAGACCAGTGAAAACTCACACTTGCCAGTTTCAAGAAGCATTTTATTTCAAAACATGTGCTATGCACGTGCACAACATTAACATATGGATATTCTGTATGCATATATATGAATACATTACAATCATTAGGACAACAAGGGAGAAGGGCAGAAATAGTCCACCTGCCTCACCTGAGGGAAATGAGAAACAGTATGCATCAGTATGCAGGATGCTGCAGTAAAAGGCAAATGTTGACCAAGGTTGTATTGCTACCTGTACATGTAGGTGCCTTCTTTCCCTCTCACATGGAGCCCACTATACATGTATTGTGAAGTTTTATGTATCGATCTAAAGCTCCAACCATGCACTTGACACCATTTGAAATGTGAAAACAGGACAGAGATTACATACAGACAACAGTGTACATCTTGTTATTGTTTTTACCTGAAAGGAACTGATGTTGAATCGGATCTTTTGGGCCTCCACAACTTGGATCAGGTAGACACAGTAGTCACCAGGATTGTAGTCATTTGGATAGTTGGGTGACTGGATTGTTCCCGTCTGGCTGAAGTAATTCTCGCCACATGTACGCGCTAATAAAGATTGGAGATTGGGGATGATTAATGATGCAGAATGACTGCAAGAAAATTGCCTAAAGTAGGATAGAGATCCCTGACTTCTAAACACTGAGGAAATGGCAACATGAGATCCCAAATGGCCATCTCCTGGGTTAGCAGCACTGCTAAAATTAATTATTATGACATCATGTGTACATGTATGTGTCCTGGCTACTTGGCCTGTGTGGATACACCTGACTAGAACTCCAAGGTAAAAATCACTGTAAACTCACGAAACAGCCAAGCACTGGATAGTAGGTTGTTTACCAGCATTCCAAAGGTCCCACATTCAAAACAAAACAAAATTCAGTTTTTCTCAAGGTTGTACATAACAAGAGTTACTTTTCAGGACTGTAAGCAAAGGAATAGTCTAGGTAATTTTTTGGCAGCCCTGTTAGCCGTTTGGGGCAACTCGTTAATACACAAAAAGCCGAACATCTTGCAGGCCACTTTTCAATTCAAAGCAAAGTTCGATAGTCAAATACCATTTTTAAAAGTCCTTCCACTTGACATTCCACTCACAAAACCGAAGAAAAAAGTTAGTTGATTGTCACCATCATTCTGTCTTTTTACGACTGGCTCATTTCAAATAGCTGCAGGTACATGCACCTCCAACTGTCATGTATGGTCCAAGAAAGTAATTATTTGGAAGTTAAATAATGGCAATGCATGAAAGGTTCAATTTCAAAAAGTTCGTCTTTTTTAGACCAAACTATGTGAAAATCATCATCATGGCACTTGTAGATGACTGGATGAAATGTTTTAGAGCTGGCAAATTTGGATAGATCTTAATTGCTAACATTTTGGGGAGGATGCCACATTACTGAAGACATCCAGTCGGATACATAATCTTGCAACAATGTGTACATGTACATTGTATACACTGAAGCTCCCGTCCAACCCCTCCCATGGCAGATCCATGAGGGCCAATGGGGATAATTTTGTTAACAAATACAATGAGAAAATGGAGATTTTGGGAGCAAGGTATTTCTCTTTCTTCCCAAAGTTTGTAAAAAGCCCTTTAATGTAGCCTCAACATTCAGAGAGGCCATAAAAAGTTTATATGAGAAAATTCCCAAATCTTTGGCCCCCCAAAAAAACCCGCATTCCACTCATTTGAAACCCTCTCCTTCCCCCACTTGTGTGGTTGGCTCCATCCCTGGTACAGCTCTATTCCAACACCAACTTAAGTTCAATGAACAAAATGAATGTCCAAATAATAATCTGTAAGTCAGGAATAGACATGCTCACTCATCGGTAATGGCTGCTCGCAGTTGGTACCATGAATTTGGCCATTAGGACATAGACAGACATAGCCTCCAGTGGACACCTCTCTACATAACCCTGCAACACATGGATTGCTGTTACATTCTGTGAAATGGAAAATAATATCAAAAGATTAACATATAGTTTTCATTTGCATATCCACAGACAGTACAGGAACTGGGTGGCGCTACAACACAGGTAACTGGGTACATCTACCTGTGCCATAACAGGAACCTATTCTAAAATTTAAAAAGGCAAGAAAACAAATTTGAACATTCAAAATGAAAAATGCATTCAACTTCAATAGGTTTGACTTTCCAAAAACACTCCTCAGCAACACTTAACATAAAAAATGTTGATCAAATTATTGCTTTCCGTTTGTCTATGTTGCTCATCATGTTCATGCTGAGTGAGTCATTCTATAAATTTGGGGTCTATTATTTTGTATCCCGATGTTGGAAACTTTAGAACACGTTCTTTCATTTTGAAAAGTGATGGTTAGAAAACGAATAAAGTGTAACTTTACAGGTTTTGTTCTTACCCAATACATGTTCAAAAACACTGTGCACTTGTCCAAGAGCTTATGAAAAAATTCACAAGTTACAGCCTTACTCAGTCCAAATTTTTAAAAAGGCGATTTTTCGAGTCCAAGTTTACTATACTTACATGTACTCGGGTAGGACTCGAACGCACGTACTACTTCCTGTTTATATGGTGCAGACGTGTAGTCTTAAACATACATGTACATGTACATGTACTAATACTTATTGTTACAACCACTCAACCACCGAGCCTTACCGGGGTTGGCTGACCGCCCCGAGTCAGAGCATGCAGCTGGTACCGCAAACTATTTCAACTTCAAGCTGTACAGTATTTGTGTCGAGGAAATGTTAACAGACCTTTTTACTGATAAATTCATGATTATCTTCATGGCCTTCTATTCGTCCGGGGGATTTAGGTATTTCAGAACGAACCATGGACTGTAAAATCGAGGAAAACAAGAGAGAGGCACTGTTACTTTTGTAGACGTAAATCATCCGTTCTCGAGTTGCAAAGAGCACGCACGCGGGCTGCGTGCACGCGCATGATGATTGAAGTTCCTGGTTCTAACCCGCCTGTCTACTACGAAGTTCCATTTCTGTCGGATCGGGGGCTTCAGACTGACCAATTAACCCCCTATTGGTTACCCTTAAAATGTTCATATTTTGTTCTGCTTTATATTTCGGTTTATAAACATAAATTTGCGATACAACCTGCTATTTTATAACATCTTAAGAATAACCTCGGTCATCAGCGTAGCCGGCTTTGTACATGTACAAGTATGCATGGTTCTCGAAGGCCTAATGAGTTCATCAACGATCTCTCTTTGAAGTGTTAAACGTGACGGTTTAATTTGTTCGTGGAGTTTTATTGGTTAAAGATGTATTAATACAAAATATTGTAGAGATCTAATTCTTATTGAAATGAAACAGTAACTGATCTTGATAAATGAGGAATAAAAAAGGGGATTACATTGCGGGCATGATGATAGTGATGAACAGACGACGAGAGCGATGCTAGGCAGGACTGGTGCGAGCACGTGCGGCAAATAGCGATCACGCAAATTATGTCGTTGAGCGGCCTTCCTTTTTCATTCGTAAACCAAACAAATAATAAGCAGACTGAATTTGGAGTTGGATTTTAGAGCAACGGCCAGATAGCTAGACTGTGTTGAAGTTTTAAAAATTCTCAATTCATACTTCGGGGGGGGTGGAGAGTGTTGTGTTAGTGGAATGATAAGAAATAACGTGGACACGGTGGACACACCAAGCTGGCGGACATGAGCTGCATGGAGGATTTATTGCATGACCTCTGACCTGCATGTACGTGGCTAGGCTAGGCTAGCTGCGTGTCACATAATAACATTTGCATATTACTACAACCCCCCCCCCATTTTGAAAAAAAATAGGGTTTTCCCCGTTATTGACAGATGTTCTTTCTATTTGTTTAAACCAACAAAGAATCATAAAGCAAGCATAACTGTGCTAACATTACACAAACACTTCGGTACTTCTAAACTGATCTCTTGGCAAGAGGTTGGCGATAGCTTGAGACAGTTTGTTTGATAACACGAGTAACATAATGTCATCTGCGTAATGTTGCTCAACAATAAACCTCAATATCTCAACTAGTTAAGATATCATCTGCAGAACAGTGTTTATCAAAAGGTAAATCGGAACACGTTTTGTACACATAAAAGGGACAAATCACATCATCTTACAAGCTAGGCAACTAATCATCAATGTATCTCGCTGGCACACGTGTTGTGCGACCAGATCTAGTGGTTTGGCTGCGCGGCACAGGGGGCGTGCGCTTGGCTTTCGGCCTCTGGCTGCCTTGAGGAGTACACATAATGCGGGGGGGGGCGGTCATCAAAGCGAACGCGCTTGGCAGTTGTCGATGCATTTGGGTTTGATCGATCGTCAGACTGATTTTGCAAGAAGTTCGCGCAAGTGAGAACGGTTGCGTCTCACAGTGGTGCCATTAGGAGTTGTAACCTCGTATGACCGTGGTTGTTCACAGACCTTGGCGACTGTGCCTGGGGTCCATGTGGTTTTCACTGGGTCAAGAATGCGTACTGGCTGCCCAACATATAATGGTGGGAGTTCTGAGCCAGCATGCTCATCATGGTCAGACTTCATCCTCTGTCTGCGATACTCCAGACGATCATGGATCTGTTGCTACTTCTGGATGGGGCCCAGACGGTTGTTGCTGGGAAGTATTGTTCGGATGGGGCGCCCAGGCAAGATTTCCGCAGGCGAGGGAAGATGGGAATCGGTTGGTGCTGATCGAAGATTGAGAAGCGCTGGAGCAACATCCTGGCCTGACTTGTGGCAATTTGTCATGACAGATTTGACCGTGCGAACTGTTCGCTCCGCTAATCTATTTGAACGTGGATAGCGGGGGGAGGGGGTTGTCTGAATGACTTACCACTTGGAACACATAGCTCTGTATGCCTGGCCAACAAACTGTTGGCCATTATCAGAGATGATCTCTGTAGGTACTCCGAGTAGGCTGGAGATCTCTGCCGTTTCACGCGCAACACCGTCACTGGTGGTGTTTGACAATTTGCGGACAACAGGAAACTTTGAATGATAATCCACAACAAGGAGGTATATCTCGTCGGCAAACACGAAGAGATCTGTGCCAAGCTTAGTCCAGGGTGTAGTCGGGACTTCGTGTGGTTGGAGAGGTTTGGTGTGTTGTCAAGGGGCTGGTGTTCCTGACAAGTTCTGCATGAGAAAACCATCTGTCGTATGTGGTCACTTATCTTCGGCCAGAAGACTAAGTCACGTGCTAGACGTCTGGTCTTTTCAATGCCTAAATGGCCAGTGTGTAGGTCGTTTAGAATGCCCTCATGCATGGACTCGGGGATCAACACTTGTCGCCCTTTGAAGATGACCCCACATGACAGTCCGAGTTCCTCCCGGTAGGACAATATGATCGTATGTCACGAGGAAGTTCTTTGACGGAGTCAGGCCACCCTGAGTAGATCACTCGCTGTAGTTCTGAAAGAACTGGATTGTTGGCTGTCTCCTGCTGGAGCATGGCTTGTCGGGCCCGCCCAAAATGGACGAGATCAACCGGTTGGGTGTCTAACTGTGTCCATCTCGGCAATCGTCTCATCAAGCGGTACATCGTCCAGCTTGGAAGGGTTGGATAGTCTGCTGAGTGCATCTGCGATCACCATCGTTGAAGGGTGGTGGTGCACTTGCAAGGGGTTTGCGCCAGATCGTGACCAGCGGCTTACAGTCAGTATAGAAGGTGAATCTGCATCCAAAGTATGGAACGTCTTGATGCCGAATACAAGGGACAGAGCTTCTCTCTCGGTGTTGGAGTATGTGCTCTGAGAGTGGGACAAGCTCTTTGAGGCAAATACAATGGGTTTCCCTTCTTGAGTGATACACGCTCCAAGCCCACGTTGAGATGCATCCACCCCCAGGACGGTATCGATCTTAGGATCGCAGAATTGGAGGCAAGACTGTGGCGAGATGGGATGCTTTAAGGCTAAGAACGATGCTTGATGGTCTTCTTGCCAGAGAAACGGCACTTCCTTTCGTAGAAGGTCGCGCAAGGGAGCAGCCTCATCTGCACATTTCGGTATGTACGGGGAGACAAAGTTCACTATGCCGAGGAATCGTTGGAGGTCGTCCTTGTCCTGTGGTGTGGGCATAGCGTGGATGTCTGTGACTCTGTCTGGATAAGGATGGATGCCGTCAGCAGAGTAGATGGAGCCAAAGAAATGTATCTGCTTGACATTTATCTAACATTTGGCGCTGTTGAATACCAGACCCTCTCGCTGAGCGGTTTCCATCAGAGCAATGAGGTGTCCATCATGCTCCTGTTCAGTGCGCCCGAAGACTGCCACGTCATCTGCCATTTTGTTCAGCTCGGCTTGCAATTTAGGTTTGACGTGTACACTGCATTTCCGAGGTGGATCTATGTGCGTTTCAGCATCAGGCTTGAGGTGCAAGCGAGCAGGTGGTTAAAGTCACCTAAGGCATCAAACTGCTTCGGGTAATGCTCCCTGAGATCTTGGATGTCGCACACTTGGGCATTGGGGTTGGCATGTGGCTACGCTGTGGACCCCGGCATAGTCGGAGGCTATGGGCCATGCGTACATGTAACAATGTGGATCGTTATCAGGTGTAGGGTTTGGCTCGTAGGGAGACCTGCATTTGCTGGTCCTGGCACATCCACGACAAAGAACTTCTCACGATGCCAGTCAGACTGTTTGTACCTACACATGATGTGTATTTGGCCATGACAAGTCATTTCGGAACCATTGTACGCCTTTAACTTGGTTGAGCTGGGGGTAAGCTGGCTTCCCCATTCGTCTCCATAAATTTGGCGAATTGTGCGGACTGATAGCGTGTTGGCGCTTGCTCCTGTGTCAACCTTGATGTGGAGGTAGTGCCGCCCGAGACGATTAGGGCAGATAACGTCAAGTGTGGTGAATGCCTCAGCTGGTCCTGGCCGATGCTCTGCTGCCGTACATAAGTCTGACACTGAGAGAGTAATAGAGTTGAACATCTCAGGAGGTGAATCCATTGTGGACTGGTCAT